CTAGCTGAAAGTATGCTGAAGTAGTTAAAGGGCAAAGTAGCTGAAGATTTAGTGGAATTTTTGAACTTTTACATGCATTTCAATGGGGCCAAAAATCGCAGAAAAAGCAGAATATCGCGAAAACTACGAACAATATCTTTACCAAAAGTCATAGCAGAATTCTCCTGAACAAGCTGAACGTTTTGATACCAAATTTGTTTAAATCAGCTGAAAACTGTTGAACTAGTTAAACGAAGAAAAACCTACGGAATAATAATAATAATAAAGAAAAACAGAAAAACAATAAGTGGGAATGCATAAGCATTCCCACTTGATAATAAAGAAAAACAGAAAAACAATAAGTGGGAATGCATAAGCATTTTCTGACCCAAGGCGCCTCAAAGATCCCATTCAACATCAGCGAGGTGTTTAAAGATCGTTCAGGGTGAGCAGATTTACTGCGGATGGAAACTGTGCTTTACACAAGGCCTTAAGCCTCCTCTGTGGTTCATTCTGGATGCAGAAACGACCAAAGCTTTTAGCAGTTAACCGTAAAGCTGAGAGGAGGAAAAATCAGGTCCTGAGTTTTTGTTGTAAATCTCGATGTTCAGGTCAGGACTGCTAGTTCTGTGATGTTAGTCACCTCTGTGTAATTACTGAGTCATTACAGAAGAAAGACTTAAAAAATAACATATTTCAATGTTTTGTCTTACATCTAAAGGGAATTATGGAATCTAAAATCTGTTTGGGGGGGGTCAACTCAGCTCAACTTGAAATCAATTCACAGAAAAACCTGCAGGGTGTAGATTTCATCTGTTTGTTTTGTTCGCCTTAAATATGGAATGAATTTTAGTGAATTATTGCTGCAAAATATATACTTTTTGTTTGATTTTTCCCCTTATTTTAAATTCTATTTGTCAAAAATTGTGTTTAAAGTTTTTAAATGATTAAATTCTTCTTGTTTTTTTTTACATTTCTGGTTTTCAGATTGAGCTCCCCAAACTGCATTTTTTTAAATTGATTTCTACAGATCACATTCTCTTCAGGGAGTGGGCCTTCCTTCCTTTCTGTTTTTATTATTCCTCCTCTGTAGTGAGGAGAGATGATGCATTTCTATTGGTCAGCGTTGAAATTAGCAACAACATTTCTATTGGTCAATGTTCATCAAGACGGGCTTTATGTAAATAGAATAAAATTTGTGAAAGGCAAGTGGAAAACAATGCCATTCTTAAAGCTCAACCAGAAAAACAGAAATTGGAAAGAAAAATTGGAAGTATAATTCTTTGAAAGATAATTTTTTTTTTTTAATAAAGCTTAAAAAAAAATCTTTAAACTATATTTATTTTTAAACAGAATATGAGAAAATACAGGCGACGCGGACATCCCCCAACTACAGGAAATGTTTGGACTGAGCGTGCTCCTGTCTTTCACTGAGGACTCACCCTTGATCCCCCTGCTCCGTGGGGTAGGAAGCCCCTCCCTTGGCGTCGGGCTCAGAGCTGGATCCAGGAGGAGACACCGGTTCGATGCCGTCGTTAGAAACACTGACGGGTGACGCCTTTTGCTGTGGAGGGGATCTAGAAACAACATGAAGACGTTATTATCAAATCATTAAAATAGTTTTCTTCTGCTTTTAAACATCAGCGGCTGATTGCCAAGTCAGGCCCTCGTTTCCTACCTGTCTCTGTTACACTCCCCGCTGAAACCCTCTGAATAGCGGGACCCCTGAACAGACTGCTGTGAATTGGGGAGAGGCTGGGAGGCACTGGGTGGACGGCTCAGGTCCAGAAGAGAAGAGCCATGGTAGCTTTGCTGCTGCTGCTGGCTCTGCCTGGTATAGTCTTTAACTATCACCTCCTGTGCATAAACACAACATTTCACTTATTCAAACGGTCCTGTCCTCCTGACAACATTGCCTTTTGCTCAGAGCATTGACTTACGCTGATGTGCTGTTCTAAGGTGACCACCCTTCGGCTGCCTTTGACACATGGGGAGGGGGGCTGTTGGCTTGGAGAGAGTCTCTCCTCTGAAGGCGGTCGATACAGACCTTGTGGTGGACCTGAGGAACAATATGCAGAGACAGAGATAGCTCAGATTCGGTCCTTTAAACAAACAATGATGCGACAGACAGGTTAGGATAGCGTCTTTGAGACGAGGAGGATCAAATATATTAAATTAAAACAAACCTGAGATTATTTCAGATCCATAAAAATATAACATGGTTCCTACAGATTTAATACAAGTTTTCAAGCTTCCCCAGAATCTTAATCCCATAGTTCTCAACTATTTTGTATGGAAACAGATGAAATGAAAACAGAGGGATGAAACAATAGATTAATAATGGCAGCAAATATAAAATACAACAAACACAACTTACTAAGACAAAGAATGAAGGTTTTAAATATATTGGGTTTTATTTGGACCGCTTTAAAGTCCATAATGTAATTATTGTTGTTTTGTAGCCACCTTAAGAGTAGCCTCTTGAGACCATCCTGATCTCAGGAGCTTTCAAGGTTTCACTCGCAGATCAGTCTGGCTACTCTCCGTTAAAGAAAATTTGGAGCCGTTCACCAAACGAACGTCCAATCAGCGTTGGCTTTGAGGCGGGTTGAGGTGTGACGCAACGAGAAGCGCGACAGTTCAGTCTAAAGAACATGGCGGCTTCAGCCGATGAAACTAGCGTTAGCGTGGCTATCAAGCAAGTTTTATCGGAATTACAGAGTATTTCTTCACTGAAAGAAGAGCAAAACACTGCTCTGGAAGCTTTTCTCAGAGGAAAAGATGTTTTTGCTCTTCTCCCGACTGGTTTCGGCAAGAGTTTGATCTATCAATTGGCTCCTCTTCGTCGTTGCTCTGTTAGTACGTCATATGCTTCGTTGATCTGATTGGTTTATTTGGCCCGTCTATCACCAACATAGGCCAATCAGCCAACCAGTATTTTCGCCCCTTCCCAAAATTACTTCAACGGAAGGTTTCCAGATGGATATGCGGAGCAAGTCCATCTGGCGGAGTCAGATTACCTTAAGAGTCCACACTTGATGAATCAGAGTTTTTTTCTTACACTTAAACAGAACCAACCTGATCAAAGACATTGACATTAACAAGTTGGTGAAAGTATCCCAACAGCAAGGGGATGGTTTATTTATCTGAACTGACATTTATGATCAAACTAAAGCTGAACAATTGGCTCTATACATGCCTCCACTATCTGAAGGTAGCTCGTTTTTTTTTTTTTTTTTTTTTCTGGCTTTCTCTACAGCAGTGTTTCCCAACCTTTTTTTGACTTGTGTACCCCATTGGGCATTTTGTCTACCATGAGTTCCCCTCTTAGTCAAAAGTATTGATGATTGTCCAAAAGTGGAACATACAATAACTGATTTTAAATAAAAAGTATTTTGGAGCAGTGCTCTAGTTGTTGGGGCATTGCGCTTGGGTTCCAGAGGTTCTGAGTTTGAGCCTCACTCCTACAGACTACCACCCCTGTCCCTGAGCAAGACCCTTAACCAGGCTCGGACTGGGAACGATTTTCAGCCTTGGCATTTTTCCATCTACATCGGCCCACTTAAATGTGAAACACAATACGAAATACACATTGTGGATTAACCGATCTACCATCAAGCATCACACGACAACCACCACCAAGACTTCCATAATACGGTTTTACTGGCGCTGGTTATTAACACGGACGCGACATGGACTTCAGCAGGGTTGCCAGATGTGACTGACTCATATTTTCCAGCCCAAAACATTTTCATAAACCGCCTGGATATACGAAATCTCGCCCAATTTGAACCAAAGTCTATTGATCTCTTAGGCCTTAAATCTAAAGAAGAAAAATTTTTTTTTTACCCATTGACAGCCATCCTAAGCTGCCAGATTGGGAAACATCCCAACCTGGCAACGGTGCATCTAAGATGGGAAACGTCAGCCTTTAGATGCAAAACCCCATCATGCACCGCCAATTATTTTTGTAAAATACTCGAACATAAATTCGCCAAATAGAACAGGAACATTGTAGATTGGTTTAAAGAAAGCATTTGTTTTATTATAATTTTGTTTGTTGCAATGATTTTACAGTTTGAATAGAAAATTACACCATATGTCAACAAGGATGTGCATGCCAAGGAAGGGCTATATATACTGCATGCATCATTTAGGTAGTTAACGTTGTAATACTTCTTGAACTTCTTGAGTTATTTACTGTCACAGGTAGGTGCTTTGGCCGGAGAGTAATTGGGGGCCGGTATGATTTAAGGAGGGCCGGTCCTCGCATGCTGAAACTAGAAACAGCCCACCGGGCAAATGCCCGGTATCATAGACTACCATTCGGGGCATGCCCTTAACCCCCATCCTGCTCCCCGGTGACGCACAATGGCAACCCACTGCTCCCTAAAGGGGATGGGTGAAATGCAGTGAGTTCATTTCGTTGCTTGATACTTGTGACAGTGTATTGAGAATAAAAGCTGAATTCTATTCATTCTATTTTACATCTTTAAATTTGAGCATATCTTCAAGTAACACAGAGTACATGTCAGACTTAATAATATTACTTCAGCGATAGTTTCAAGGTGTTGCTTTATGGTACGCCTCGTACTATGTCTTTTGGTTGTTCTGTTCTTTTTGCATCTCGTTGCAGGTGATGAAGCAGACTAAAAATGTTTTGTCATTGTCTCCTTTCTCTTCTTTCTTTCATCTTTTCTCTTCTTTTTTCCCCCCTTTCTTCTTCTGTTTTTCTGCTCTGTTTACATTGCAGTGTCCATATAAACTATAAAACTCCCTGCCTAATTATAATAAAGCAATTTATATGCATGAAACAAGTGGAGCAGTATGGCAATTGCCGTACTGCTACACTTCTTATTGCCATATTGCCAGACAGGACACTGTAAAAAAAAAAAAAAAAAAAAGAAATAAAGAAATACGTTTGAGTATTTATTTCTTAGATATTTTATGCTTTATGAATCTGGAAGTTAGTAATGAATCAAAATACAAATGAAATCATAATATAAACCTGTATTTATAAAACTGGAGAATTTGATGAATTGGGAACAAAATACAGAACAAAGATTATACTCAGACTGACTAACTAGTTTGACTAGTTTTCAGCAAGACACCTGAGCTGCTTTGATGAGCTCTGATAGCTGTGAAAACCAGTTGATATGAGGCTGTTCTCTACTTGTTCTCATGATATTGGCTGCATACTCTCTGTGTATACAGCCATATTTTATTTTACTACCCAAGAAATAAAATATTTTCATGCACCCCTTGCGATGCACTCGCGTATCCTGAGTTGGGAATCACTGCTCTACAGGAGAATCTAACTGATTAATCCAGGTGTGCCTGACCTCAGTAACCATGAAGACATTGAGACGCACCTGGATTTATCAGTTCATACAGTAACGGAGGAAACTAATGCGCTGCCTTAACTTCAGGAAGTAGTGGAGTTGTGCGCAGAGCCTATTACTTATGGCTGCAATAAAATCACAATTCAACAAAGTGCTTTTTTTAAATCGCAGAGAGATTCAGTTTTGGTCTAATTACACTGATGAAGTGTATGAAACTGACTTTCACACTCCAGCCCTTTAGGTGGCAGCAGCACGCTTCAAGTGGGTTTGCTGCCCCATAGGACAGGAGAGAGTTGCAGCTATCAGGCAGATCCATGGGTGTAGAAGTAAGCATCTTTGTGTTTAACTAGAGATGCACCAATCCTATATTACTATCTATACCAGCTCAGATATTGAAAAACATTCTAGATCCAGTGTCACTCAAAATGGACTCAATTCATCAGGGCAGATCTACTCATTCCATTAGAATACGAAACCAAATTTTGGTTAAAAAAGCTCTTGAACAGCAGGAACGAATCATTTTGTCCTTTTAACATGATTGTCTGTTTTAACTACTTCCTCTTCTGACGTCATACTAATTTAAAGTTGCCTTCTGGGATATAAATTTGCACATACATGCATATCATGCTTGCTTTCACAGAGGAGTTAATGACAGCATTTTAATGAGGATAACAAAGTAAGCAGAGCTCCTGTATTGGAAAAAATTCAGGGTACACAGACATCTAAATTCAGATATCAGAATCGTATCGGCGGTGAAAAAAAAGTGGATCAGTGCATCCACATCTTCCGAACAACTGTAACAGTAAAGTCCTATGGTAATAGACTCTGGACAAGAAGCTTTCAATGTTATTACAAAAACAAAACCCTGGAGACAACAATCTAAATAAAATTATGAAATGATGTTCCATCTTAAGTTTTTCAGGTTTGCTCATAAAAGAGACGAGGAGCATCAGTGTCCATCAGGGGAGAACATACAAATTTAGATTTCCGTTTCCAAACTCCATCATCATCATCATCTGGTGATGTGACATAATCACACAGTATACAAAACTACATGATGTCAGATTAGTGGACCGGGGTCTGGATCCGGACCCAATTTATAAATTACAGCATGTTATCCGATGACTAATGTGTCTAATTTCACTTGCACCGCTTCTCCTGTTAATACGGTAAAGCCCTCCGGAGCGTCCGGCACCAGGCTACACATGATCCAGATTAGCCAATGAGCTGCTGTCAGTCTGGGTTGCTGCTGCTGCTGTTTTTAGACCCAGCAGACAAACCTGTGGCAAGCCGGGCGATGGGAAAGAAGGAGAAGATGATGAGAAAAAGAGAGCAGAGAAAGTGTGGACTGCTGGAAGAACTGTGGTGAACTGGTGATGACCCTGCACATTTAGAGGATGTTTGGCTCAACCTGCTGCTGTGAAGCAGAATTCTCCACCATGAACAGAATCAGAAATTAAAAATTGTTCCATTCAAACTCAGGTTTAAAGCCTTGCAGGGCAGCCTAAAGCCCACTGCCAACATTAAGACAGAAAAAAGAAAAATAAACAGTCATTTCAGGTGGGTTTTTTTTAAATATGTGAATCAGGAAATTATCTATATACCAAACTTAAAATTGTTGTTTTCTACTTCAAAAAACACTTTAGATTTTAAAATGTAAAACAATTTTCTACCTTTTTTTCTATTTTTATTTAAAAAGTCAAAGTATAACATGGATGCATAAACACCCCATGTTATTTCAGTGTTAAATTCTGTTTAAAGTAACGTATCATAATTAAAAATGTCTCCGGACCTTTACTGGTTGATGATTTTCTTTATTCTTTAATTGGTCTAGGAGGACGGAGGACCTTTGGATCCGCCTCCTAGCAATAATTGTAAAGATCATTTAGAGAAGTCTGGTAAAGGAAGCGTTGGTCTTACCAAGTGATCGCACGTCTTGTTCCTGAACGGACATTGCTTTGCTTTGAGGCTTTTCTCTACTCGGAGTGGCGCTTTCCTCTCGACCAGCTGGGTTATCCGACTGGGAAGGCAGCAGATGCTGGGGGCGGCTTGAAGCCGGGGGATAGGAACCGTGGTACATTCCTCCTGGGCTCGGACTGCAAAGCTTGGGGTCAGATTTACTGGAGGTCCCGTGTTGGTCCTGCAGGTGTTTTTGCAGACCTCCCCTGGATTTGCCTCCATCGCGATTCTGCTCTTTGGCTACATTTGAGTCCATGGCAGATGGGTAGGCGTCGGGGGGCACACCTGTTTTTTGGAAGGAGCCGTGAAAACCTGGGTAGCGGGATGAGGGCAAGGGCCTGATAGAAAAAATACCACACAATACAAATAAAAAAAACGACAAACAAAATTAGTTTGTTTTTACTGCAGTAAATGATGTAGGAATAATTAAAATTGGTTGGTGAAATCCGGTTTACCGTAACACTGATGAGTGTTCGCTGACGGAGAGACTTTTGCCACCAGTGTTCTGCAGCACGCTCGGCCTCTGCTGCACGTTCTCCTGGGTACGAGGAGACACCGGGGAGTGCTGGTGGCTGTATGGTTGGGATGCTGGTCTCCCACTGCTGCTGTTGCTGGACAAGCTGTGTTCTGTCCCTGAGGAACACAGAACCGTGTTGCTATGGAAACCAGGTGATCTCTCCACAAAAATCAAACGACTACTTTATGCAAAAGTATCAATACAACACTGACCTATTCTTAGTTTGTTTTATCGGATCAACTCAAAATATCAGAGTGAAATCGAAGGAAAGATTTGGTCAATCTGACCAAATGTAATCCAATGCGATGGGTAATCCTTCATTTATGCTGTCTCATTTCCAGTAACGAACATTTTACAGGAAACCACAGCATTATTCTTTGGGGATGCTTTTTAGATTTGATGATTAGGCTGTTTATAGCCAAACACAGGCCGATACTGGAGGAAACCTTTCTTGAAAATGGGGTGTAAGTTCGATGACTAAACGTACGGTCAGAATCACAGTTGGAGTGTTTTCATGTGTTCGAAGGACCAGGTTCAGACCCAAAGCCAATGAGGTGAATTTGGTAAAACACAAAGATTGATGCTGGGGTTTTTGAGGTCTAAAAATGAGCAAACCTGAAGAAGATGCATCCCAAAAGATTAACCAGTCATCAGAGCTGGATATACAGTCACCAAAGAATGATTAGACCACCTTTAAAGCAACTGTTATCCAATGAAGGACAAACTCCTGTCGCATAAAGCGATGAAAACAGAACAGTTACATTAAATTTATTAAGTGAAAATGTTGAGTTAATGTACAAGTTATTTAACCAGTTGCGATGACTTTATACGTAGTGAATTAATTTCAGACTTTTATCAAAGGAAACCACAATTTTCATCTCATTTTCCAATCATCTGTAAATTCAAGTTGATCCGTTCCATAAAAACTTAATAAAACTCAGTTTGTGGTTGTAACGTGAAAACCAAAATTATCTTTTTCATACCTGGGCGCCAGATGGGGGCGTGCTCCACATTTCCCAAAGATCCTCCCCTATCTCTGTCTCGCTCTCTTTCCCTGTCCCTCTCCCGTTCTCTGTCTCTTTCCCGATCTCTCTCCCGTTCCCGGTTTTCCCGCTCTCTTTCTCGCTCTCTGTCCCGTTCGCGGTCTCTTTCCCGCTCGTGCTCTGCAGAGGACGTGCTCTGCAGTTTTCCCATGTGTGAGGGTCCAACTGGACAGAAAGAAAAACATATTTTCTAATGTACAATGATTTTTAATCTCACAATAAATGAGATGCTTGCTCCCAGACCCGTTGCCTCGGCAACATGATCTCATAAGCAGCTGATAATGGACGGAGAGGCCTGTATTAAAAATGAATAGGTACCAGGGGAGATGGGCGAGGCGTAATTCCTACTATGGTATCCGGCGGGTGACCCAGAGATGTAGGTAAGGCCTGGGCCGGCTGTCCCTGCAGAAGGAGGTACCAGAACCGGCAAGTGTGGCACCTGGGAAAGGTCAATGCCTGGGAACACAAGAAGAAGAATAGTTGAGTTAAACATACCTCATTTAATTCTTATACATATATATATACACACATATATATACACATATACATATATATATATACATATGCATATATATACATACGCATATATATACATATATATACATATGCATATATATACATATATATACATATGCATATATATACATATATATACATATGCATATATATACATATATATATGTACGGCAGGGAAACCATATTTGTCCAGCCACTTGTATGTGTGCCACAGGTTGCTGCTTTCCATCAGCCAAGGATTTTATTTCCACTTCGAATGAATGAAAAATATATTTACCGTGATGTATGATGTGTGTGTGCTGTGGGGGGGTATGAGTCTGTGAATGAGGCCAGAACAAATGGGTGTCAAAGTTCGTGGGAGGAATGATTAGTCCTGTTAACGCCGTGTTTGTTCACTTTTTCTTTTTTGTTTTTTTTCCATGACAGCAGACTGCGTGTACTGGCAGAGCTGAGGGAAATGTTGCCCTCTCTGCCAAAGCAAACAATAGAACGGGGGGGGAATATGTGTGTGTGGATGTGTGTGTTTGCCTTAGTAATCTTGTGCTGTGTGCTTCAAAGTGTGTCTTTGAGTCAGAGTTTGTTGTGTTTTTAGCATGTGTTGTACACACGCGAGTTTTTCTTGTACATCTTCGCCACAGTCTTGCGTTGCATACCTTAGTTACCGCTGTGGGATGAGTATTGAGTAGGATTTTAGCGCCATATGAAGCCTATCAGAGCCAGAGCAAGTTGTTTACATGCTCCTAATAATTTCTGGATTATTATCTTATTGTTCATTTATTTGGACCCTTCTTGATAATAAAGTTAAAAACCATAACTTACAGGTGCTGGTCATAAAATTAGAATATCATGAAAAAGTAGATTGATTTCAGTAATTCCATTTAAAAAGTGAAACTTGTATATTATATTCATACATTACATACAAACTCATATATTTCAGATGTTTATTTTGTTTAATTTTGATGATTACAAATGACAACAAATGAAAATCTCAAATTCATCATATCAGAAAATTAGAATATTACTGAAGACCAATAAAAACAAAGGATTTATAGAAATGTTGGCCAACTGAAAAGTATGAACATGAAAAGTATGAGCATGTACAGCACTCAGTATTTAGTTGGGCCTCCTTTGGCCTGTATTACTGCAGCAATGCGGCGTGGCATGGAGTCGATCAGTCTGTGGCACTGCTCAGGTGTTATGATAGCCCAGGTTGCTCTAATAGTGGCTTTTAGCTCTTCTGAATTGTTGGGTCTGGTGTATTGCATCTTCTTCTTCACAATACCCCATAGATTTTCTATGGGGTTAAGGTCAGGAGAGTTTGCTGGCCAATTAAGAACAGGGATACCATGGTCCTTCAACCAGGTACTGGTAGCTTTGGCACTGTGTGCAGGTGCCAAGTCCTGTTGGAAAATGAAATCTGCATCTCCAAAAAGTTGGTCAGCTGCAGGAAGCATGAAGTGCTCTAAAACTTCCTGGTATGTGGCTGCGTTGACCCTGGACCTCAGAAAACACAATGGACCAACACCAGCAGATGACATGGCACCCCAAACCATCACTGACTGTGGAAACTTTACACTGGACTTCAAGCAACGTGGATGAAGTGCCTCTCTTCTTTTCCTCCAGACTCTGGGACCTTGATTTCCAAAGGAAATGCAAAATTTACTTTCATCAGAGAACATGACTTTGGACCACTCACCAGCAGTCCAGTCCTGTTTCTCTTTAGCCCATACCTGGGCTAAATATATATATATATATGTATATATATATATATATATGTATGCATATGTATATATATATATATATGTATGCATATGTATATATATATATATATATATATATATATATATGTATGCATATGTATATATATATATATATATATGTATACATATATATACATATACATATATACATATATATACATATACATACATACATACATATACATATACATATATACATATGTTGGAGCCTATTAAGAATTAGATTCATTTATCTTTTGCAAAATTTTTAATGTTAAAGAGCTAAGGTTATGTGAATGGTAGAGTTATTGTTTATTTGTTTATGTATTTGTTTTGCTTTGACCCTCCTCCTTGTCAGTCCGCCTCCTGCTGAGATTAACAAGTAGAAGCAGCTGATGAGGTGGAGCTGATTGTTTGTTTGAAGGAGTGAGGAGTGCAACAGTTTTTTCACACACATCACTTAGCTTTATATTTGAATTTTTGTAAGTCAACTCTGAGAATATTTCTGTTATTTTTTATTAGTAAAGAAAACACCCTTATTTTGAAACAAGAAAATTCTCCACGAGTGCTTTTTGTTTTGTGAGTCGAAAAACCTCCTCCTAAGACTACTCTGGCAGTTTTTGATTTTTTTGGAAACTTTTTTGATGCAAGAGTAGCCGCAACAAGTGAAAAAACTTCACTGATGACTTGAAGAGGAGCCTAAAGTCGGGAGCTGCCAGCCGATCACGCTCTGATGCGCAAAGAAAGCAGCCAGCGGGCCGTGAGTACAATCAGCTGACTGAGTTTATGAATGAAGGCGCCGCTGCGCTACAAAGAATGATCGATAACTACAGAAAGCAAAGCTGTTGATTTCAAAGAAGGATGCTTATTGATGAACTTACTTGAAAGTGAAAAGATCGGTGTGGTCATTAACAATGTTGGACCCTAAATCCACGCCTGCGTCTGAGAACATGTTAAAAGAGCGCGTCCTTTCGCGCAGAGGCAGATTGGGAGCCTGCACTAGAAGGATTAATGAAATAAAGGCTTTGATGACGGATGCAGGAAATATTGATGAAGTCAATGATTTAGTACAAGCATTTAAGGAAGCCGTGGATGAGTTTAAAAATACTCATAGGTTGGTTCAAGAGCTCTTATCAGAGGACGAAAAGGAAAATGATTATAATGACTGGTTTGAGCCTCGAATAACTAACTTAAACTATTTTTGGAAAGATGTCGAAACATGGAAAAAAGACATTGTACAATCAACAATCAAACCATCAGACAGCATATCTAATGTATCAAAGAAATCAAAGTCATCTTCTTCCACATCCAGATCTTCCTCAGTCTCTTCAGAGTTAAAAAAGGCCAAAGCAGAACAGGCTGCTGCACTGGCACGAGTTGCTGCCTTGAAAGAAAAACATGCTTTACAAATGGAGGAAGCAAAATTAAAGTTAAAGATGGAGCAAATTGAGCTAGAAGCTGATCTTGCAGCATCAAATGCTAAAATAAAGACCTTGCAAAGTGTTGAGGTGGACCAGGAACCGTCTTTAGGTGACGGCATGAATGAATATTATAGCTCTCATCAAGAACCACATTCGATAGAGGGCAATGTGGAATTTATGCATTTAGGTGCTATACCAAAGACTCCACTTCAACGGACCATTTTGGAGAGATGTAAATCGTCTCCCAGTAGATTAAGGACGGCAGAGAATAAACCCCAAAATAGGAATCCCACTGAAAGTGAAACTGAAGCTGCAATTTATGATCATAACGCATCTGAAACTGCACAAGATTACCCAGAGGTGGCTGTTACTGCTGATAATGAAAATTTGAATGTTGTTATTCAAAGACAAAATGACATAGCAGAACTCATTGTCAGCCAGCAAAATCTGTCTTTGTTACCTCCAAGAAATATTTCTGTGTTTGATGGTAACCCATTAGAATACCAGTCTTTTATTCATGCATTTGAACAATTAATCGAAGACAAGACTAAAAATAATAAAGACAGACTGTATTATCTAGAACAATTTACATCTGGTTTGCCAAGAGATTTAGTTCGCAGTTGCTTACATATGGAAGGAAGTAAAGGCTACAGGGAAGCTAAACAACTATTAAAGGAACATTTTGGAAATGAGATGAAAGTTTCTGGAGCTTATTTGGATAAAGCCTTGAACTGGCCAGCAATTAAAGCTGAGGATGGAAAGATGCTGTATGCATATGCAATGTATTTGAGAGGATGTTGTAATGCAATGCAAGATTTACAGTACTTAGAGGAACTTGAAATCCCATCAAACTTAAGGCTGTTAGCATCCAAACTACCTTACAAACTGCGAGAAAGATGGCGAACCACAGCTTATGAAATACAACAGAAAACTGGCAGGAGAGTCAGATTTAAAGATCTTGTCAAGTTTGTGGAAAACCATGCTAACATGCTTTTGGATCCTTTGTTTGGAGACCTTCAAGACCAAACAACAACCACAAAAACATTCCCAAGAGGCAAAGGTGAACTAAAATCAATTAGAGGTAAGAACAGTAGCTTTGCAACATCAATAGTTACAGAGAAAACAGGATGTGCTATAAAGCAATCCGTTTTGTCTCCACCACCTCCAGAATCCACACCCATTGCCAATATCTCTCACTGTGGATTCTGCTCGGGAAAACACAACTTAGCTGACTGTCTGCGTTTTAAAGCAGAGTCGCATGATTGTAAAGTTGAATTTTTGAGAAGTCACGGATATTGCTTTGGTTGCCTACTAAAAGGTCATTTAAGCAAAAATTGTAAGAGGAGACTAACATGTCAAGTTTGTCGAATGAAACATCCAACAGTACTCCATATTAAAAGTGTAAACGTTTCAAAGCAGGACAGTCAAACGGAGATTGAAGAAACTCCCATAAGTAGTGCTCTTGTTTCAGCAGGTGATGCAAACGGGGCCGGGAAAGATTGTGCACTAGCCATTGTACCTGTCCGAGTTAAGGTGGCAAAAGGGGACAAATATATTCAAACCTATGCTTTCCTTGACCCAGGCAGCACGGCAACGTTTTGTACTGAAAGATTGATGAACCGGCTAAATTTGAAAGGACGCAAAACAGAGATACTTCTGCGAACAATGGGACAGGAAAAGCCTGCAGGAACCTACGAGGTTAGAGGACTAGAGGTGGGAGATATTGATGGCTGCACATACTTGGACCTGCCGAAAGTTTACACACAGGATAAAATACCTG